GCCAGAACTGAGAAGACAGCAACAGACAGCAAATGCCGCCTCTGCAAAGAAGCTGAAGAAATAGTGGACCACCTTGTTAACTGCTGCAAGAAGATTGCACAGAGTGACTACAAACAATAGCACAGAGTACAAACAACAAAGTAGCAACAATGGTGCATTGGAATATTTGCAAGAAATACTATTCGCCTGCAACCAAGAACTGGTGGGACCACAAAACAAAGTAATAGAAAATGAAGAAGCTAAAGTCCCCAGGGACTTTAGAATTCAAACAGACAAGCACCTGCCACACAACACCCCAGACTTAACAATTATTGATAAGAAAGACAAAAAAGTCTGGATAGTGGACACTGCAATACCTGGAGACTACAGAACAGAAGAGAAAGAAAATTACAAAATACAAAGAGCTGCAAATAGAAATAGAACGACTGGAGCAAAAGAAAGCAAAGATAGTATTAACAGTAATAGGTGCCTTAGATGCAATCTCAAAACATCTGGAGCACCGCATGAAGACCATTGGCATTGACAAAATCACCATCTGTAAATTGGAAAAGGCAGCTTTACTTAGAACAGCTTACATTGTGCAAGAATACCTTTAACACCATCAAACAACAACATCTGCCTATCCCAGGTCTTTGGGAAGGACTTGATAGTTGGATAAAAATGCCAAATCCAGTCTAAACATCTGGCTGACTGTGTGACCAACAATAATAATACATTAAATTTATATGCCACCGAACTCCCAGCAACTCTTGGCAGTTTACAAATCATTAAAAACATTTAAAAACAAGTAACAATAGAAGAAATACAAAAGAAGGAAACAAAGATGGCAGAGAAAACAAATCTGGATGGGAACAAAGGAAAGGAAGAAAAGGGTTGTCAATCATCAACAATGTTGTTGAGGTCCAACCCTGACCAGCGTCTACCAGAGTAGTGACCTGTCAGTTGTAATACAGTAATATTTGGAAGGGTAAAGAATCCCAATCCCCATTGTAACTTAGATTCATTGAGCCTTCATTATCTATGAATTTTTTGTGTCATCTAAGTGTATATACAGTGATTTTTGGTGTTGTAAGTTACATTCAATAATATTACCTGCCAGGATAGCATTGTCCATCTTTTCTAAAGCAAAAATTGACTTCTCCAATGGACCAAATCATAAATCATATTAATGGTGTTTTTACACTTCCTGTATAAATTATAAAGTTGGCTGCCATAGCCCAGCCAAATGCAAAAAACTCCTCAGTTCAGAAAGGCAAACTGATATAATTGAAATACAAGTAACTTTTCTCCCAAAAATACAAACAAGCCAAAAATATCTTGAATCTTGTCCTTCACTGTCATATTACATCCCAGCATACAAGATCTATTCAGTCACCATATATTTTTGAATCACCCCAAATTCTTTTTATTCTTTTTCTCTCGGACACCAAGGTATCTCCACATAAAGGTTCCATCCCTGTTTTTTTTCATCTTTAATGACTCCCCAATCTCACCTTTGTTCTCTGTATTCTTCAGTCCAACTATAGTTTGCCCCTCTTCATATTCCCATCCTGTTTGGTTACCTCCATGCAGTCCATTAATCATGTCCAGCAGTTATCTCTGGGGACAGCCCAGTTCTCAAGCTTGCCCCTTCCCTTCCCTTCCCTTCCCTTCCCTTCCCTTCCCTTCCCTTCCCTTCTCTGGTGGATAGTACTTCATCAAAGCAAAGTGCTGGGCTCTAGTTGTTTACCATATTTATTAATCTATGTGGGCCCCCAAATTCTAGTTGCAGTCTGCCTGCCTGCCTCTCTCTCTCTCCATCCACCCACCCACCCACGCACAGATACAATGTACCCTGAGTACATTTGGAGGCATTCACACATATGTGGCACTCACAAAATCATGTTGCCTGCCCCTGCATTTGTTACCCTTGTTAAGTCAAGAATGCAGAATCTTTGCACTTTGATCTCTGAATGGCACATTGGTGGACAGATCCCAAAAGTGACCAGAATTGAGACAAATCAACAGATGAGTCCAGGACAAAAAATTATATTACACTGTATTACATATTTTTAATTTTCAGTGTGACAGAAGAAGGAAATTCTTGGGAAATAATTAACTTTCTTTAAATAAATTATTTCCCAAGAATGTCCTTCTTCTGTCACACTAAAAATTACTATTTGATAACATCCTTTCAGATCTATAAATAAGCAAGTTAAGGATAAGCAAGTTAAAGCAGTCCTATTTCATTGTGCCTTTGGCCTGACCTGACTGTTTGTTAGGATTAGAGCAGGTCACAAATTTTGCTAAAATTCTGCTAAATAAATCTCAATTAATGATAAGACTAGTAGAAATGCATGAGGTAGCATAGCACTTTTGATGCCACTACATGTACTAGCTCAGCCTCCCCCACCCCTCGAACATGTCCCAAATTTTCCTCTCTATATAAGAGGTTCTAAGTGCGTCTTTCATGCTGGGGTTGATATGTGTAACATATTCATAAGTAATAGTAAAGAGTAGAGCAAGCATTTCTTTGGACTTTTTCCTGTGATTAGAATATCTGACTATGTATAGCACAGTGAGGCTTAGATCAAATGTTGTATTTACAGTGGTACTTAAAAGTTTGTGGACTCTTTTTTAATTTTCAATATTTCTGCATAAATATGACCTAAAATCTGATCTGTTCTCCACACAAGTCCTAAAATTAAATAAAGAGAACCAATTAAACAAACGAGTCAAAAACATTATACTTGTTCATTTATTTATTGAAGAAAATGATCCAAAGCTACATATGGAAAACAGGTAATATTTTAGGTCATATTTATGCAGAAATATTAAAAATTCAAAAGGGTTCACAAACTTTTAAGCACCACTGTAAATTGAAGTTAAATTCCCTGCAAGCTGAATCCTTAGGTCTCCTCATTGATTAATTAGTGCCATCATGTTGATGTTGACACTTAGCAACCACATAGATAGATTTTCTCCAGGATAGGTCTCCTAGCATAGCTTTTTCTCACAATTCATAATGCTTTTTTTTTTTTTTAATGCAAGAAGGTTTTAAAGAAAAAAACAAGGTAAAGGTTTTTTTCAAAAGAGCAATTTCCTATATAGATTCTGAGGTGGTGCAAATCCAAACAAGATGTGTAGGACAGATTGTTGTGGATATATCAGTTGGTCATCATTTCTAAATCATGTACTTTTAAAAAAACAACACCCCTATTATGAAAAGCTATGTCTGCTGCTGCTGCTTCTACTATCAATACACCACACACACACACAAGTTCCACTAAACACATTTTTCCTTGAAAACTGCTTAAAAACTGGGATCCTTGCCAACTTCCCAATACTCTACATGCATCTTCCCTTCTTTGAAAATAACTGTTTTGACTTTAAAATATTTACATCTCTCTCTGCGTAGCTAGCAAGCTGCCAACCTGTGGAAAAGTGAGAATACATCCTGTGTTATGCCTTAAAAGGATTTTTTTTAAAAAAATGTTGTGCAGGCTAATGATATTTAGAGAAGAAACTGATTGTTCCAAATACTTCCTTTCAATTCATGAGAAGGCCCTGCTTTGCCATCTTGTAAGCAATGCCTCTGAAATGCATTCCCCACTTCAGCAGATGTTTAGACTCCGACTCAATATGTGTACACATTGTGTAAATAACTGCAAAGCTTTGATTCAACCTTTTCCATACCTTGCCTAGTTAATTACCTGGGCTTTTTATGTTTACATGCAGTTAGTGTATCTCTAGCTATAAAGTACATAATTTATAATTGATGTAAATGGTTGTTATTATGTCAATTAAGCAGCTGGGTTCTCCACCTTCTCACTAAACAGAATGAGTGATAAACAGAGTTTACAGGGAGATGCTTACTTTTCTTCAGAAAGGATAAAATACATTACCTAGGTAGACCAGGTTGTCCAATTGTTCTCTGGTGAGGTAGATGTTGTATCCTGGCCTCCTCTCTTGACCTGTTGACTGCAGCAAATGGTCAATTTCGTCACGCACCATTGCAAAAGCTTCTGGGTGCCTCAACAGATAATACATCGCCCAGAATGTAGCAGGAATTGTGTTTCCCACAGAGGCCCACAGTAAGGCTAAATGATGTGCTGGGAGAAAATAAGTGAAAAGGAAGATTAATAGCGTTTATTACACTGATTAGATTTGCAGTGTGCTAATTAAAAGATGTTAGGACACAGACCCAGCCAAGGATCAGTGAATGCTAATGAGGACCAATAGGCTTCTGAAAGTCTAATTTTCTGCTTAATGAGAATAGTTTGAAATGTAATTTCAGGGTGGGGGTGGGGGTGAAATAAAGGGAGGAAATGCAGCTCAGTTATAATCTCTCTCATTATCACCATTAAGTATCTTGTTTCACCACCTCAGCCAAAAAGAGAGAGAGAGAGAGAAAGAAAGAATCAATTATCAGACAGGGTTGTTTCAGAGTAAAACATTTTATCATTACCCAATTAGAAAAAACATAAAAATGTTCAAGGTCGCAATTTTGCCATTTTATTTCAAAGGTCTCTAGTAAATTATCTGATTCGACCCAAGCAATCATTCAAAAGTTTGCTACCTGCTTTCTCATAATCGCCAAGCACCTTATAGGTTTCAAATACATCTTTTCTGTTTTGGACCACTTCAGAAACTTCCAACCATCTCTCCATCTTTTTTGGATTTAAAAAATTTATGATTTCTCTCCGGACCCTCTTGGTTGCTCCCAGAAACTGAATCGGTATGTTTAGAGCCAAATAGGAGAAGTTGGCATCAAACTTGAGAAATTTTTCTCCAATTGCATCAGTAACGCTATAGTCATCCTGATGAGGATCCCTCCCATACAATGTTTTAAAGCTGGCTTCAAATATTACAGAGAAGCAGAACTTGTGCATTTTTCCCGTCTCCCAATCTACCATTTGTGAGAACTTGCTCTGAAATATATTTTGGAGGTTGTTCATCATATTATGAGACAGTGTGTCCAATGGTTTGCCAAGAAGATATTGATAATTCCTGTGCACGTGTTCATTTAGGCCTGGGCAACTTCCATTTACAACAGGCGGGTGATCAAATGCTTGGGATGATATTTGATCTGCAAACTCTGCAAACTCCAGATACTTGCTGTTCTTGGTCACAATATGATAATGCAGGGGGTTTATTATAAATGTCATATATTTGCCTGGAAGAAAAAAAGAAATTGGTCAAAGATCACACGATCATTTATTTCACCATTCTGCAACCTGTTGCCTTACAAGACTCATACACAATACCTCCTGTCATCTCCAACACAGGGTACATGCTGGCTGGTACTGATGTAGAAAACAATAGGTTTGAGGAGTCTGATATAGTCAAAATCATTTTCCCTGTGCTTCCCTCCTAATTACAGTGACAATGTGGCAGTCTTGGAATGAGCACCATCCTCGCTCACAGTGCCAGAACTGAGATTGTTCAAAAGATTGAATTACAAGATATTCCTAAAAATGGAACAATAAATTTACTTTAAATGCAGCTCAACTTATACTGTGGCATTAATCCTGGAAAAGAGTGAGCAAAACCAGGCATTGAATTGCATACATTTTATATATATAAAAAGTTACTATACATTTTAGATATACAATACAAAAAAGGAAACTACAAAAAACTATATTTTGAGATATGAAAAAATAGCAAAATAAACCATGATAACATTGACAACATATGCAGAAAAGGTTACAATACTGTACCTAAAATTTCTTTCCTTCCCCCAGTCACAAGAAACATATCACAGCAGCTTTATTACATTGCTGTGTACAGATAAGCAACATTATTATTTATTCTTCTTACATTCATTCTTCTTACATTCCTGGCCTCGTATTATATTTCTACTAATGTTTGTGGATTACATAACACTGCTGACCCCAATAACAATGGTATCTACATACTATACATTTTTGCATCCTGGTTCCAGTAACAAATTATACAATTGTGCTAGGTTGTCTCTAGAGAACTAATTTAACAATATAATCTGTGAGATGAATTCTAGAACGTCTGCTATAACTTGTTCATTGATATCCAAACTAAAACTTTAAATCATATTGGTTTTTAGTATTGGTTTTAATTTTATTGCTGTGATATCGGAATAGGAAAAAAAGTCATAGCCACAAGAAATCATAGAAATGGAAATAAAAATAAACAGAAAAAATAATAAAAAACAAATTACACACACACACACACACAACTTATACACAAAAAGCTCAGTTTTTAAACAGTAAATTAAACCTTCACTACATAGAGTAATATTGATTGGCTTCCCACTATGTCAATAAAAAGCCATTTCATATGTACAGAGTAATTGTGTATCTTCAATCCAGTGCTTTAAATCAGTGAGCAGAGTCTTTCCACTGGAGTATAACAATTTTTTTAACAACAGATTACCACACGATAAATCCGTAGTTGATGAATTCCACATTTGGAATGATATGATTGATTCAACAACATATTCACCTTTTAAAATCTTATTTCTTATCCCAGCATTATGGATATTAAACCAAAATGGTGAACCTGCTGAACAAATCTAAAGCATTATAAGTCACTGTTCTCTTATTTCTAACATACCAAAGCTGAGACTCAGAACTTGCTAAACATCTTCTGGAATGTCCAATAAACACAACAAAGAATATTTTGTTGAAGATCACAGGATACAGATTTAACATCCTTTAAAACTCTATCCTAATGCTTCGTTAAAACAAGATATTCCAATTCTTTATTCCAGGTATCTTGCGGTTTTTCATATCTACTGTATCTTCAGTTGAGTATAAAAGTTAACTGTAGCTTTGGAAACCTTCAAAACTCATTGCAACAAAAACAGTAATTTTAAAAGTATGGAGTATTTATATAATACTTATAGGGTACCTAAAACATTATAAAAGAGCAAAAATAAAGAACTTTTTTTAAAAAAGAAAAAAAAAGTAAGATAATAGGAAAAGCTACATGAAATCTAGAAGAGACATTCCAAAACCACTGTACAGTGCAGAGATTTCCCCTCCCAAGCCAGCTATGAAGTTCACCTTCAAATGAAAAATTGTAAAAATAGTAAATATAAGCAAACCAACTGCTACTACCCTTCTTCTGATTCCAACTGAATACAATTGTCAGCAGCTTCCAGTTCAGAGAACGTATTCATCTCAGAATCCAGGGATAAACAACAAAAACAAAAATAGCTAAATAAACCCTTCTGATTTGCTTTGCTGCTAAACAAGCCACATTATACAGCTTATATTTCTAAGTATTTGAGGGGGGGAAATCAGGAAAAAAAAAAGTCCTTATTGTTCCTTCTCAAAGATCCAGCTTGTCTGGATGACTATAAAATATTATCATGAGATAATCATAGATCTGAGAAGTCTAACCAAAAATATTAGTTAAGTGAAAGTAGAAACCTGCACAATATATAGTTTTAATTTCCAATCCATTCCATCTGTAGTAAGAAAAGCTCACTTAGGAATTTTTCCAGAATTCCAAATTCTTGCTCAGCATTATAGGGAATATTCAGAAATCATGGATTATTTCTATATAGCAGACTCATATATGGGTAATTTCATTATGAACATTATGCATTTTCAAATTGTTGCTTTTCCCATGGGAGACAGCACCATCACTTTCAAGTCTGCCACATCTTATTAAGAGAATCAAGCCACAGTGGATGTTTTAAAAGCATCTATATAGTTTTTAATTACTGAAACTCTGTAGTTTTATAGCTCTTTAAATCATGAGACACAAAATTAGAAGCAATTCCAAGTTAGACACTTTCCCAATGTCTGGAATATCTGATGGGTCAGGAGTTAAAATCACTCCTTGCAATTCCTCTGAGATAGGAGGAGTTATTTAGACTCTTTTAATTACAGTCTTTCTTCTTCCTTAAAGATGGTGGCTGTAATGTGGAGGTGATTGCTTTCTCTGACATCTTGCCTTGGGCCCCATAATTCACTCACAAGCAGATGTCACTTAAGAAGAAGAAATAAAATTGTCCAATTATGAGTTAGGTTATAAAGCAGTCCAAAATTAGGAAATAACCTCCAAAATTTAGGAGGAGGCTGGGACTATAGATCCTACAGTTTCCATTAAAAATTGGAAGCTCTAAATCCTATTGTATTCAATAATATTAAGTCTTTAATATTTTTTTTAGGACTGCAACAGAACAATTTTGTGAAAGTTTACTTAGGAGACAACCCCAAGAGGGTAGACAGAATTTATATGTCAATAAATGTGTACAGAATTACCACTTACATTATTGTTACTATTGTTGTTATAAATCAGATTTGATATATTGAGAAATATGTGGACACAGAAACTGGTGGGACATTCATTAATGCTATTAATTCTATTTCATGGGTACAGATTTGGAGCTATTGTATACACAGATTTTTTAAAATGGAAAATCACATGCTTGAACTTTTCACTACATAAAAAACTATAGATATTCACCTACACACATTTTTCCATATTCAGTTTTTTTAAAGCCCACAAACATAAGTTATTTTACAATTATATATAAACCTTAGAGCTCTTTGTTTTTCATTTCCAGACTATATTTAAATTGGGATGTTTATATTTTAGACAATCTGCTGCTTTCCCATGAGTTCCAGGTAACATAACCAATTGCAAAGGACATTGGGAACTGCAGTCTAAACTTCTGCCTCTGACCTACAATAGCACTTCCAGTCTAGCCACCATCTGATGTTCTTGATATGACAGCTAGTGTCTTTGCACCGTGTTCTCTGATATTAGTTTGACACAGCATTAGAAAGCTTAATTTTAACCTTGTATTGGCCTAATAAAGATCAGTTACTCTTCTGTACTTATACTTAAGGCTGCTTAACTACACCAGAAGCTCAAGGGTAGCGCCAGGAAATACAGTAATGTAGCTTGCAAAGATATAAGCAAGTCTCACACCTATTCACAGAAACACGCACACTTTGAAGATCTAATTTAAGTGCTACAGAAAGCTCCATACTCTTTGGCAGTGTCTTGTATCAGTCCACAATCACATATCAGAGGAACTTAATTTTCCTTCTCTGGAAGACTTAAAGTCAAAAGTTCAGACCAAATTATGGTCACCACAATATTAACACTGGCTTATTTTCTTCTCTCATCTTCTAACTGAGCATTGTTGAGAACCCCACCCTCTTCCAAACAAACCATTAGACACAGCTATCAGTTATGATGTTCTAGAGAGAAGAACAAAAATGAGAGCTATCAGAACTTGTTTGCAATACTTGTACTTCCTACTTGATAAGCACTGTGGAATCCACTGCCATGGTCACAACATCACGTAGAATCAGAGGCATCTTGGGGGGATGTGGTCACACTGATGCCAGCAGCATCGCAATACAAGGTCCTCCCCTTTCCTACATGTGTTGCAATGTCACACACATACCCCAAAGGGGCAGAGCTTGTGGCATGATGTTGCTTTCATCACTCTGGTGAAAGGGACAAATTCCTATGGACACCACTGAGTTAGAGGAATTGAATGTGTTTTCATTGTCCAAGTTAGCAACATTTCAACCTTAAAAAGTCAAATAGGCTGATGAAATTATGCCCAACTGGAAGCTTCTGTATTGGATGCATAAACACTCCATGAAGCTATAAAACAAATTCAGTACAGGATTTAGTGTGAAGTTTTTGAAACAATTGTTTTAGATTAAGGCTGACAACTCATTAAAGCTGTAATTTGATTTTCATGTACTTAGGAGTAAGATTTCTGTGAAACTCAATAAAGTTTACTTCTGGAAATATGGATTTGTAATGTTATACCACTGTGGAAAATTTTTCAAATTGGTAGTGGTAATCTTTCAGATAAAAGTTCACAAAGCACCTCCTCTCTAGCTTTGAACCATTTGTAAACAAAGGTAAAAAAATCACTGTCTTCATAGCTCAGCCACAAACTGTTCATAAATTTGAGTCCTTTCTTCCTCTGGCCACAATCCAATCTTTCACAAAGAAATCATCTTGAGAGTCACTTTTTATTATAAGCATCAGTGACCAAAAGACTAGAAATACTATACTCTGCTCTGATATTATTTAACAAGATGATTTTGAATGCTATTAACCTGAAGATGTCAGTTAGCTTTCCAACTCTGAGCATTCAGGGTAAACAATTTAAGATTTCTTTAAAAATTAATTAATATTAATTTAAACCATCTGTCCACCA